TTTTCAATGAGTCGCAAACATTCTACAAATTTGCACTCAACCTCACAACCTCGGATGACCCTATCTTCACAGAGACCGAGCTTGAGGTTAGTCACCTTTTCTAAGAATAAATTACATACATCTTTCTTTTTGCAGGTTTTGTCCAAACTAATAAACACCACGACAGAATGGTGGGAAGAGAAGAGTGTTGCTTATGAAAAGCAGGCTAAGAGTGAAGAACCCGTCATGACCGCTGAGGAAGTAGCGACAAAGGTATCAACTGTTGTTTTATATTTTGACGAGTGATTTATTTTCCCGCCTTTACAGATTCGCGATCTTGATCGTGAGGTCAAATATCTGTTGAACAAAATGAAGAACTTTGTACCGAAGAAGAAGGTTGAGCCTAAGGAAGCGGAGAAGGCCAATGCAACTGATGAAGTGACTACGACAGAAGGCGCTGAATCTAGCACTGAGGAACCGAAAACGAGCGAGGATGTTGCTAATGTAAGTTATATCAAAGCTTGAACATACCAATGGTTAAGGTATGGATTACAATTGCTTTTACAGGAGACTAAGCCTGAAGAGGAGAAGGTTGAAAAGAGCGAGAAGGAAGAGAAAGATCACGATCCTTCTGAATTGTAGACGTGGCGGTCTACTTAGGATTTCTTAATGAATACGGGATTATTTATTGAATTTTATGAAAGTTAGTCATTTGATTATGTCAATCATGTACATGTTGGGCGTATGATCTGTGCCGTTGTTTTCTTAATCAATACATCTCTTCGACTGTAATATCTGGAAAAATCTATCGGTCATTGTTGAACGCGGTTTGCAATCACTTTGAGCTTTGTTGTTGTCGTTTCTCTTATTCCGAGCATTTCTTTTTGGTCAAGAGAGTTGTTGTTCTGTTTATTAGGCATGTTCTGTGAATGTTAATTGGGTGGATAAATCTGTTTTTCGCTGTGTGAAGTCTTAGCTTTTGTTGTGAGAGATGACTTTTTGTTTGAAAAGAAATCCGCATTTTTTTGTGTTGATTTTACCTTATGGAAATGAAAGACAAGAAGCTACGCAGCTAGTTTCTATTCCA